GGGTCGATCGCGTCAAAAAGCCAAGGGCAAGCACTTATCCATCTGCGCCACTGAAGCTGATGTTTCACAGCCACTTTTAACTAAATGTAAATAGACACTCCGTATTTTTAATTCCATAGTAAGGGCAATTCATACAATACATTTAAACTGAGCTACTTTAATACCATCTCCGAACTTTCTACCACGACTCCGCTGTTCTTCGGCTGGTTCTTCCTGTATACGTTGATTGACAGATGTCTCGTCCAGTCAGCGGTGAGTAATCCCAGACCAATGGCGCTGTATCAAACTATACCTACCTCTTCCGCTTTGTCTGATTTGTCGTTGTGTTTTCTGACTTGTTATTTTGTTTTCGAATTTGTCATTGTGTTTTCTGACTTGTTATAATGTTTTCTGAATTATTGTTGTGCTTTCTGAATTGTTATTTTGTTTTTTAGACTTGTATTTGCATTTGTAATTTGTTATTTTGTTTTCAGAATTGGGATCTGCTTTGCACTTCTCGGCCACCGTACTTTCTTACAAAGGACAGTAAAAGCTGTTTGCGAGAGACGCTGCAAAAGAAGCAAAAATGACAGAGCCAACCTTTACAAACTATTCAGTAAATTTTGTACTTTGGTGGTATCATCATGTTCTAGGAATGACAACACTTGTCTCTGTTTCCAAGGATAACAGGCATTTGTTTTATGGTCGTGCTTCTGATCTGTACCTTTGTGAATCATACTGTTGTGTTCCAATGAGTGTGATTCATTTGGTCTCTGAGCGAAAGAGTTTCCTTTGCATCCTTCTTTCTCTATCTCTCTGGAGGTTTAGATAGGTGTGATTCTATAGAATGAAGGAGGAGATGAGTTTACCTCCGGAGTTATTTATGGCGCTCAGGTGAGTCATACTTGGTGTTTAAACTCTGGAAGTTAAGTTGATTAGAACAGAGTTGTGCTGCTATGTTTTAGAATTATGAATAAGATAGTGAGAAGAAATCAACACCATCTATGAACGTAGGAAGTCTTTTTCAATAATTAAGCACTTTCAAAAATCTCAAACCTTCTGTCAAACCAAGAGAGTAATGTTGCCTATTCTGATTAAACAGGTTGTTTGAAATGTATGTTTAGTTGCAGGTTTTTTGTTTGATTTGGGATTTTTAAATGCCAGATTCTCAGAAGAAAAAGCCGGAAAGGCAGTGGCTCTTTCTCAGGGCAACAGGTTTTGCTCTGAAGAGCTTGTGTTTACCTGCTGCTTAGTTATGGGGAAATGAAAGAGAAGGTCAGGGAGTAAATATCTGAATCACAGTACATCCACAGTCTGAATGCTAAAGCAGAAGACTATGGGCACAGTAATGGGCTCTTCACTTTTGAAGTTAATCCAGGGTCATTTTAACACTATTCATGGTTTACCTTACAAGTGAAATTAATTCTGGTTCATCAGGTTTTAAGATTTCAAACTGTCTTCAGTGTTACATGATCCTTCAGTCATTCACATATGTTGATTTGGTGCTCAATAAACATTTCTTATTATTATCAACAGTGAAAACAGTTGTACTACTTAACCATGATACAGTTTTGTATAATTTTCTAATGAATAGAAAGTTCAAAAGAACAGCATTTATTTAAAATAGAAATAATTTTGTTTGTATAATATACATCTGAACCAATGCTGATAATGAAATGTATCAAAAAAAATAAGAGCTAAGAAAAGGGCATCTTTTGAGCAATACATTTTTCCTCTGGACTTGTCTTTATGTGGAAATGTCACCACGCAAATGCACTCCTGTTGTCTGAAGAAAACTAAAAACTGAGACAACAAAGGAGGAAACACAAAGGAGCATTTGTCATCACTGTTTGACTTTTTTGACTTTTTTTTTTGTCTTTTTGATGTTAACGCTGAAAAGTGTATGACAGTTTTTGCAACTGTGAGACACCCATTAATATTTAATAAGGAGACTTGAGACAAAATAGGAGGGTGCTGAACCCCTTTCATAATTGCAAGTGTAAAACACTGCTTATTTACTTTCACATTACCCCTGCCCTCACTTTCTTGTCATGTCCAACGTATAAACAGAGGAAACACACTTAGCAGGAAATTTTCATTAGCCACTTCCTCAAGCAAATCAGCAGGCTAATTTCTTTCAGACAGACCCTTCCATTCTGGGGAGACCAGAGATTGTTAAAACAAGCTTTTATGCAAGTGAAGGGAATGAGTGTTTTAGTGTAATTTTATCTCTCTTTGAAACTAGGCAAATATTAGATTCTGAATGCACACAACTGTGGTTTACCTTCACCTGAAGTTACAAAATCTGCCCTGATTATCTGTGGAATGTGTATTTCTTTGTATACAGTACAGTATGTGTGTGTGTGCAGTGCAGTCTAGTCAAGACATTATAAGACTGCCATTTTATTTAAATGATTCCTACTTTAGAACCACCATCAACAGTCACGATGAGGAAGCGCTTTATGCATAAATCACACATGCCAACTCTCAATTTCTCCTTTTCCTCTTAATAGTCAGGGGTGGTGAGTCACGGTCTGCATTCTTCCTACTCACCTCGTATACATTGTCTCCTTCCTGGTATTTATTGCAGTTTTTTTCCAGCTTTGAGTGTTTGATGGAACTAAACGAGGGTACTTGTGAGAGAGAATATATTCATAAGACCTGCATCGTTCCACAGATTCACCGATCATGGGAACATCCACAATGCGTAAAAAAGCTGTAGAACGTTTGCTTTAATTCATCATGCTGACTCAGCCAGCTTCTGTTGTGTCTCCATGTGTAACACAGGTCAAGCAGATCATGGAGGAAGCAGTCACAAGAAAGTTTGTTCATGAAGACAGCAGCCATATTGTCTCATTCTGTGGTAAGTCACTGAACATACAAATGTTGAACTGAAATGTGTTGGCAGAAAGATTTTACATTTGTTATTAACCCCAAGTACCTTCTCATGCTTTATTTTGGTGTTCTAAGGCATTGCGTCCTGAAGGGACGTTTTTGCTTGAAGTGCTTTTTCATTTTACAAACAGTTCCACCTACATTACATTACCTGGTGCAGGTCCTGAGTTATTCTTGTTTAGAATGTTTTATCCGCAACCTTTGTACACAGAATAAAAAGGTCTAAACAATACACAATAGATTTCATTTTAGAAAAATACTTGAGAAGCTCTAATAATGTTCCATTGTCATTCAGTGTCATTCAGACACTTATATTCATGTAAAAATTTAAACATACTTATTCTGACTTGTACATATTAAAATATATAAAAGAATAAGTGAGAATACTAATTTTTTTTTGTATTTTAAATGAGCAAAAAATCTTGCTGACAAAGTGGCAAAACCTAGGATAGTGGCAAAGTTTAAAAATGTGAGATTACAAGTAATTAGTATTTGGGTTCAAAGTACACTCTAAAAAATGCTGGGTTGTTTCAACCCAACGTTGGGTCAAATATGGACTAACCCAGCTGTTGGGTTAAATTTTTAAATTAAAGTTTTAACCCAAAAGTTGGGTTAGTCCATATTTGACCCAAAGTTGGGTTGAAACAACCCAGCATATATATAATTAGTCTTATATAATTAGTCTTTAAATATGTCATAAATTGATTCTTGTTGTAAATATGCCCGACAAGACTGTTACACTGAATGACATTTTAGTTGGTATCTTCTGTAAATCATGGTAAAAATGTAAGATATTTATTTTTTGCTCAGAAAAAAAACTATTTAATTAAACAGGACACATTCTAATGTATTGGAAAACAACAATTCAAAGCTGTATTACACTTAGTGTTTTGATGCTTGAAAAGCCTTTTTCATCTTTGACCCATACACTACTGTTTTGGATCTGTACTTTTTGTTATTTTCTTTTTTTTAAAAGAAGTCTCTTATGCGCACCAAGGCTGCATTTATTTGATCAAAAATATACTAAATACAATAAAAAAAAATTATATTATTACAATTGAAAACAACTGTTTTCTATTTGTAATTTAAAATGTAATTTATTCTTGTGATGACAAATACGAATGTTCATCTCTCTATTTGTTCTCAATTTAATATCACGCATTTAATAATGTCAAGGAGAAACAATTGAGATATTAAAGAGATCGAATTTTTATTTTCCATGGGAGGCTCTGGGAATCATCTGTGTTTCAGTATCTGCCAAATGATGGGCAGCTTGATGGTTTGGCTGGTTCCCAGGTAGCGCGAACATTCAGCATTTAACAGGGCTTGGAAGGCACCAAAGCACATTAATGTCAAAAAGGAGAAGTGTCATGTTTATTGAGTCTAGATTAACATAGAGTGATAATTTCAATGTAAATGGACCAATAAGTGAATGTGTAATTGATCTTGTTGCAGTAAGTGCTGCCCGCTGTTTGTCAGCAGAAAATATGACCACATAATAAAGTTATCACTCTTCCACACTCACCTTCTCTGTTGCTGTGCAAATTCACATCAAGGTACCATGACATGATGTTTAATGATCGAGCAGAGCGTAAACAGAATAATTGAGTAGTCAATAATAATTCAGTTTCTGCCAGGTCATATTCTGCCTATTAGGTGAAGGCTTTATAGCCCTGTTCAGCTTTTATTATTGTTTATTCACATTTACATTTTATGTTTTCTAAACAGCTTTTATTACTCCAGGATGCTGGCAACCATACCACCTTCTCTGGAATTTAATCAGCACAGCTCTGTGAGGGGTCAAACGCTGTTGGCAGGTTTGCAATGTGTGTAAATTAGACTCTGCATCCAAGCGATTATTGTTCTAAAAAGTGTCTCGTCAGGGTAGAACAAAATCAACAAAACCTTGCAGTTCAAGCTCACAGAAAGAGCTAGTGGAACTTCTTTCTTTAACTCTACTGTGGTGTTTCTGAGTAACACCAATCAAAGTAACTTTTGGTTAATTTGGTTAACATTTTCCTTGCTCCTTTGTCCACCTCCTCCCCCTCCTTCATCAACTCTAACAGCTGACGACTTTGCAACGTTCTTCATTAATAAAATTAAAACCATCAGTGCACAATTTTCCACACCACAATCTGTCAAGCACATCTTACCAGCAAACATACACTTGTTCACATCCTTCTCTTCACTCTCTGAGGCAGAAGTCTCCAAACTCATCCTTTCTAATCATCCTACTAGTCCACTTGATCCTATTCCATCTCATCTCCTTCAATTTCTCCTGCAGTTGTACCTGCACTCACTCACATCATTAACACATCCCTTCACACTAGTGTTTTTCCCTCAGCATTTAGACAGGCTCGTATAACCCCACTACTTAAGAAACCCACCCTTAACCCATCTCTTTTACTACTACAGACTGGTTTCCCTTCTTCCTTTCATTGCAAAAACACTTCAACGAGCTGTGTTCAACCAAGTCTCTGCCTTTCTCACACAGAACAACCTCCTCGACAGCAACCAGTCTGGTTTCAGAAGTGGACGTTCAACCGAGACTGCCTTGCTCTCAGATGTTGAAGCCCTAAGACTGGCAAAAGCGGATTCCAAATCTTCAATACTTATCTTGCTGGATCTGCCCGCTGCTTTTGACACAGTTAACCACCAGATCCTCCTGTCAACCCTATTGGCAAAGGGCATCTCAGGAACTGCACTCCAGTGGTTTGAGTCTTATCTCTCAGATAGGTCCTTCAAGGTATCTTGGAGA